AGAGTAACAATTTCTAAGGTTATGTCAGCATACAAGAATCATGGGAAGACAACATCAGCGAAGAAGAATTGTGGGCAAAGATCAACATTGACAGAAAGAAATCATCCTATGCCTAGGATTGTTTTGAGAAATCACAGAACTACTGCAGCACAGGTTACGGTAGAACTGAATATTCATTTTTAAGACCCTGTTTCCACAAAAACTGTTCAACATGAGTTCTACAGCTCCATCATCGACTTTAGGGCTGCAGTTGCTAGACCTCCGATTACTGAAAGTAATGCTCAGATGCATAAACAATGGTGTTATAACCATAGAACCTGGACATCAGACAGCTGGAAATGTGTGTGATATCATCTGATGAGTCATCCTTCTTGCCCTTCCCTAAATGGGGAAGAGTTTATGTTTGGGGTACACCGAAGGAAACCTACAATCTGGAATGCTTGCTTCCAACAGTGAAACACAAGGGAGGTTCTGTGATGGTTTGGGCAGCAGTATTGTGGTGTAGTATTCTGTTGGTCCCATTATTACCCTTCATAGCTGAATTACTGCAAGGGAGTACATGGATAGGTTGGGCAGTTAGGTGCATCGCATGTCCGGACATTATTTCCAATTATTTACGATTGACATTTGTCAATATATATGATGGACATATATTTTAGTTATTTTAAAGTGAAGACAAGGCATACAATGTACTAGTTTGACGTGAATTGAGTAGCACCTGAAGATGGCATTTTTATGCCGAAACNTTACCCTTTATAGCTGAATTACCGGAAGGGAGTACGTGGATAGGTTGGGCAATTAGGTGCATCGCATATCCGGACATTATTTCCAAGCATCAGTGCAATTTTCCAAGACAACAGTGCCCCCATTCACACAACTGGAGCTGTTCAGTCATGATTTGCAGAACATGAAGATGAACTTGAGCATCGTTCCTGGCCAGCACAGTCACCAGATTTGAACATCACTGAACCACTATGATCAGTTTTGGAGACTAGAGTGAGGAACAGATTCCCACCTACAACATCTCTGAAAAACAACTTGAAGATGTTCTTCAGAAGAATGGTATAAAATTCCTCTAGAGACTATTCAAAACTTGTATGAGTCCATTCAAAGAAGGGTTGTGGCTATATTGAAGCCAAAATTAGCCCAACACCATATTAATAAAAAAAAAATGTACAGTATCTGTAGTGTTTCCATTATTTTGTTCAACCTCTCTGTGTGTGTGCGCACGCTCGAGTGAGTGAGTGCGTGCATGCGTGAGAGAGAGATGTCCCATTGTTTAATGGCAAGACTCAAGGAATGTAATTTAGAACTAATTTGAAGCGAAAAATTGTGCCCAGTAAACAAGTTCAAATCATTACCATCAACAATTTAAGCAATTGTGGAGTGTATCATACTGAACACCTCTGTAACATTTATTCACAGTCTCTTGTATTTAACTGGTGTCAGTTTTCCTGTGTGCGGGAGTGTTTGACATTTACACATGAGGAATATGCTTATAAGAATTTTGCATTCAAATATTGTAATGGAAATGGTAGAACTGCTGTAGCAGAGTATAAACAGTGCTTTCTAAATCATTGAGCTCCACATTTAACCATCTTTTGCAATGTACACAGACTTACAAGGGAAAGAGAGATGAATTATTTCTCATGAGAAAATGCAGAATGTGAGCGGCAGCAATATGACAAAACGATGTACTTTGTACATTTCAGCAAAGCGCACATACAGATGTATGCAAGACTTCCATGGAGACTGGTATTCCATAATCATTAGCATGGAGGACTTATCATGATGATGATGATCTTTACCACCACCATATAGAGAAGTGCAAGAACTTATTCTAGGAGAGCATGCCAACCATGTACAGTTTTGTAGATTGCTGCAAGGACAACCACAACTTAATGAATTACACTTTGTTTGTAGACAAGTCTCACTTTCACCATAATAGTGACACCAGTAAGAAAAATTTGCACTCTTGATGGAATGAAAATCCATATTAGGTAGTGCAAAGCAATTTTCAGTACAGGCTTGTGAATGTATGGTGTGAAATAGTGGGCATATCTTTGTAGTCCACATTTTATCAGGGCACTTGACAGTTATTTTTTAGACTTCTAGAGAATGAATTGTTGCTTCATTCAGAAAATATTCCTCTTCAAACAGGATTACAAATGTGGATACAATATGACAGAGAACCTTCATTTTATGGCAGAATTATCAACTGTTTGAATGCAGGTTATCAGTGGAGGTAAGATAGGGCAAGGGCAACCATTTGCATGATCAGCTAGATCACCTGATATGACTCCACTGAACTTCTTTTTAAAGTCTAAGATGGAAACAAGGCAGTAGATATTAGAGCCACTGTGCAAGATGCAACAAAAGATGTTCAGTAGGAGCAGTGTTTATTGGAAGCAAAGGAGGTCATATAAAAAACTTAATTTACTTGGAAACCTTGAGGATAAACTTAATAAATTTAGTGAATTTGATGATTTAGTTGTAAACTCTTCCATTGATAATAAAATTGTTCAAAAGAAAATTGATTTTGAATTTTGTGCTATGCTACCTAAATTGATAAAGGTGATGAACTGTTGTTTATATGCCATTTGTTTACATCAAATGACATGTAGAATATGTTCCCAAAGTCTGGCAATTATAACATACTGTATATCTTCATTGCCTATTAAAAGATCTGTAATTATATGTTTTCTTGTATTCTCATGTCTGTTCATAGGTCTCATCCAAAATAGCACACTTCTGTTCTCATAAAGAATGCTCATCTATGCATCCATCACATTTCTTTTTAAATCTGGTCAGCCTAGTTGTTTGAATATTATTTTCTGTTCCTTTTAAAGCATACTTTAAGTCCATTTGAACGTGAACTGTACAGTGCTGTGGTGCATTGTGGTGGAATATTCTTTCATTTTTTGATATAAATGTATGGATAAATGAACTGGGATAGGTCAGTCAGTATAGTAATGAACCACAGGCTGGTTGGCTGAGGTTCAGTTCCCAGCAGGGGCAAAAGGCAGTATCCAGACTGGCTCTGGGTTGCACCCTGCCCCCTATCCAAAGGTTACTAGGGGCTCTTTCTCTGGGAGTAAAGCAGCAGAGGCATTCCATATAGTGCTGAGGTTAAGAATGGTGGAGCTATACCTCTGCTCCTGCAGCCATTCCTCTTCACAGCATGGTACTTACTTAAGTATAGAGAAGACTATGTTACATTTACACCTTGTATGGTGGCAGCGTTGCTTCCACCTCATCAATTTATTTGCCATTTGGTATTTTTGATGGGAGATCCAAATGTACTAAAATTGTTTTGTCTCCAGTGGCATGATGATCATACTAAGTTTCAGTAAAATTTTCTTTTTAGGGCTTTGAATCTGTTGCTACTTTAAACCCCTCCTATTGCTGCTATTTCAAAGTATCATCGACTTTAGTTAAATTCTTTATAGACTTTAAAGTGTGTCAAGTTATCAACCAAGTTTTTTATGAACAGTTCTGTTTTCTGGGATATAATGCCATGTAGTCAATTGAAAGTCAACAAAAAATTTGGAGGCTACATGTTCTCCAAAATGGTAGTCGACTTTGAGTAGACTGCAGCATTATATCCCAAGAGATAAACCACCGCTGTGAGTACCTCAAATCCTAGAAGTTGTTTGTGGAAGTTGATATTGATGTATGTTGATAAATTTAAAATATTCTACAGCAGTGCACAGTTTGTTATTTGACAACATAATGTTTCTTATCCTGAAATAATTTGATGCTTCACTGTTTGAAAGTGTGATGTTTAACATAAATTGATGTATGGTTTTTGAATGAATAAATTAGTAAACTTTATTACTTTATATCATAAGATATCATCCTTTTTCTCAAGAGTAAACTGTTTTTTACTCCATTGCATTGTGCTTCTGACAGTTTTTGTGGTCCTGCAGCAGCCACAAATGTGATAAATGTCAACATGTTCTGATTTCATTTTAACTCAAATATTAGCTTAAATTCCAGGTGCTGAAATGCCCAGTGAGTTGCATAATTTTTTATACATAGTTCCTAATACCAAACAACACACGATGGTTCCCTTAATGATCAGATCTTCAGTTTTTGGATGAAGGTAAGCCATTGGCATTGTACATTGGTGGTACACATGATGATCGTTAATATTGTCCAATAAATGTATTCAGAGTGTACAAAACATTTTAGACATTAAAGTATTGCATGTATTCTTTGTATATTGGCTTATATTTTGTTATACAGGACTTGAATTCTGTTCAAGACACCTTTTTCTCTGAATTGAATGTGTTAGCATCTTCACTGGAATTAAGTTTGTAATTGCAGCGTATGTGTCCCAAAACATATAAATACTTACTATAAGAAGTTTCAAACAAAATAGCAGAAGAAATTTTCAACACTTACTCCATTGGGTTGTCTTCATTAACAGCTGGGACTAAAAATTATTTATGAGCTTGTGATTCTTTTTATTCTGAAGAAACCTTTACATTGACTTCCATCTACTGCATAATGGCATTCTTCTAACCATCAACAAGCTGCTTATGTATTTTTTTTTGTATGATAATTTGAGGATTTATTTCTCTTGTAGTAGTACTTGCATTTTTTAACTTGTTTTTAATATTTGCAGTTTTGAAACAGTAACTTAAAATTGTATGTACAGCTGCTAATGCATTACTACATTTTTTTACAAATGAAAATTGTTTGTTAGCTCCATTAAGTTTTTAATTTGTATGCGCTTCATGATTTAGATTTAGTAAAAGAAATCTTACTTCATTGATACTTACCTAATTGGATTTATGCATGGGCAATTTTAATGTGGCGGTACTAATCATATTTATATTGGATAACAAATGTAAATGTGTTATATAACATGTTTTCAGAGTTATCTGCAGAATACTTCATGTTTCTCTTTCTTTCACAATCATAGCTGCTGTTATGGCAGTTTTGGTTGAGAAGTTGTTTTTCCCAACTTCAGATGTATTTTTATACATTATTAGGAGAAGGGACACATCCTATCTTTGCCCGTGAAGAGATTATGCAAGCCTCTACCAGGGGAGGTAGTGGTACCATAGATGAGCACCGTAGAGTGGTAGCCATTGTGGGTGAAACGACACCAATGCAGTCCCAAGGTATTTACTAGGCACAAATTGGAAGAACAGTATTACTGTCTTCATCTCTCACTTCACATGTGTGTCCAGCAGGTTAATTCCACTGGGTGTGTTGAAAATTGCTTACTGTGTCAGAAGCTTCCCAGGAGGTAAGGTCAATATTCTGTGAGGTCATAGTGTCAGACATTCTAAACAAAACTATGTATATGTACGTTCCCTATTCCTAATGGTTTCCAAGATGGAACTGTTTCACTGTACAGTTCCAAAGTGGTTGATAAGGAAGAGAGATTACATACATATCTGGTACCTGTGTTTGTTGTTCAAGTAACAAAGTTGGTACAGTTCTTAGTTATTTAGAATCCGGATGATGGACAGAGTCCAAAAACCAGTATCTCTGTTGGTACGGTTTACCTAGTACAATACATTTTCAAAAATTCCGCCGTCAACATCAGCGCACTTTGCAGCTCATGTGAGGAGGTGACATGTTGCTCCTCTGAGTGAATCTTTACCCTCCTTTATGCAAGCAATAACATCCATAGCTCAATCTCAGAAACATATACACTTTTTTGCTTAGAGTTACCAGTACTGTGACCTTCAGAATATTGACCTTTCCTCCTGGGACATGCTCTATAAGTAATTATACATTGATCTGATGGTAGCATATGCTTAAAACTTGATTAAGCATTGAAATAGTGTCAGTCCTAACTTTTTAATGTAAGGGTATTTACTAAAGTGATTGAACATTGGTGTGAGATATAAATTTAAAATATCAAGTTCCTAATACATTATATCTGAGGTTTTTTACAGAGTTATTAGTTGCATGCTTCTGTTGCACAGCTTATAGTGTTTCCTGTCTCCAGTAATATTAGACCAGATCTTCAGTACAAAATTCAGTAAATATCAAATTAGAATGGGGTTTATGTACAGAATGGAGCCAATAAATGTTACCGAATTGTGCAAATAATCTGTTGTTATATTGATAATGTAGTTATTTGTGATTGCCAGATAAGATGATATTCTACTGGAATATCATTAGCGGTTGTAAATTGTTTTTGAAAGCACTGGTCCAAGAAATTACATATTAGTTATATAAGTGGAAGCCTTTTCTTAAAATAGTGTAGAGCAGTGTTTAGGAAGGCATTTAAGCATTCTCATTGCCTCAGAAGCATCCAGTACAACCAGAATTATACACCCACCCCCATAAAAATTTGTCATAAAAGATTTTGAGGTGGAAGAAAGAATATGATCATTAGTAGAACATTTGATTTTTGAGTCTGTCAGATCAGTTTTAACTTTTGTTAGTTTACTTTGTCAGATGGGCATGATCAGAAGATAACACTTATCTAGGCATAGACTGGATAAAACTAAAATGGATTTTAAAGAGCTGGATGTGATTGTAGTTACTTCCTAGCAAATTGTAACCATATGTAATTCATATTTGCCTTGAAGTTACTCCATGAACCTTGCAGAAAATGTATGGTATGTAATGGTATAAGCTTAGCAATCATATAAATTAATTTCTGAAGGCATCAGTGGCTGCTTGTGGAACTAATTTTGCTTTATCCTTAGTATATTTGGCTGAACCTGAGTGAGAAAATTATGTATAATTTTAGGACGTTTGTAGTTCACACCTTATTCAGTGCAGTGCTGTACCACAGTGAGGATAGAGATAAGAGCTATAAAAGTATATTTCCACTTATGACAGGAAGTTCTCGATTTGAATCACCGGGTCGTTATGCTGATGCTCCATCACGGTCACATGATAGCTATTATCCTAGTGGAGAACGGGAACCACCACGTGACTACCCACACTCTGCACAAGATTATGGTCATGGTCATGGGCCAGCACCAGGCTTTGACCATAGGGAGAGGAGTAGGGAAGATCGCTTTGACAGGTAGGACTCTAAATGACTACATTTGAGAGATTTTATAATTTATATTGTGAAATCAACAGATTTACTATATTGTCATGTGTACGGGGGTATGTATGGTGAAAATAACAGGTTATAGTTCAGATGATTGGATTTATTGGCACTTCTGTTACAATCTCTGATAATTACAATTAATACAGCGCTATTGCTGATTTACACAATTTACAATTTACCGTTGCACACTTGCTAGGATTCTCAGTTTCCACTAGTTGTCTCCTAGCAACGGATCTCAACAGAGAAACTAGCACTTCAGGTCACTATGAAGTGTTCTTGCCATTTCTTGTTCAGTGACCCTGGAGCCTCGGAACTCAACTAAAAACTCTCCTTAGCTACAAGCAGGCTCACATATAGCTGCCGGACAGACAACGCAGAAAATACAGTTCTACTCTTACGTAGGACACACAACACAGAAAACATAAATCACTTGATAGTGTGATGTCAGTGCACCTGCGCGGAAGTGTGTTTACCAAGCCATTGCCTATATGACTGCATTGTTCCATTGTTGAATGCATGTGTTGTTTAGCAATGGCTGTTTCTGTGGGTCAGCCGTTCTTGCGCGGAGCAAATACACCACGGGATACTGTGAATGATTAGTTACAATTTAGGACTGAAATGTAGCATGACCCCTTTTCTCCAGCCTGTTCCCTGTACCCACATGTGCTGCTTACTAAACTGCCACTACAGAGGTTGCATGTGTACGGGTCTGCTATCTGCAACATCTTAAATGTGTCTTTACAGCTCTCTTTTAAGAGATATTGAAACTATGCAAACTGTAATATGTTCTACAGGTCTTGATGTTTCCTGGTATCCACTGTTTCATCTAAAAGTTCATATATTGGCAAGATCCCCTTGTTGTATTTGCAGTTCTCACAGTGGTGGTTACATGATGCTGTATAAATCATTGAAAATCAATTGATGTTGTTTTGGAGGAACATCAGTTGATTTCAGCAGACTACACATCATTATATTCCAGAAGATAGAACTCTTGTATGCTTGTCAGTCAATAGACATGTGTGCTTTCCTTGGTTCTAAATGTGTTTCATGCCAGCTAACAAGTAGTGTAAATATGATAAAACTTGTACTGTTATTAATTTTCATACAAGACTTTATTTAATTCTGTTGGATAATTTACAGAAAGTGGAAGTTTTATATGGCAAGTGCATTGAGGGGAACTGACAGGTCACAGGAAAGAAAATTAGAATTGCATTACAGTGCACTCATCTTTTGAGTGGATATTGTTTTAGTAATTAATTGCATTGTCTAAATGTATTTATTTTTATATGAGCAGGGATTAGTGTTGCAATTCTTGTTTAAGTTTTAAGGAGTTTACTTTAATGATCTCTAATATATGCCAAAGTTGACTAGATTCCAAAATGTGTTTCAAACAAGACCCTTCATTTTCCTTTAGTAGGTACATAATTCATAGGATGTGTTCTTCTGTTTTGCATTTTCTCAGTTATTTATAAGTTTGTGGTTTGTATATTATAGTAGCTGTTAACACCATTGTTCTTTGGAATTAGTTATCTGAGTTATAATTTTCATCTTCAGTTTTTGTGGCTTCCGCAAATCTGGGCTATTTATCAGTCTTGTCTTTGCCTTCCGGTTTAGTGAAACCTGTACAGAGTTTATTGAAGTAAATATAGTTACTAATTTTCTTACCATGGAATTCATCATTCTCAATACAGGGCAAGGGGGTGCTAAAAGAAGGGATTTTGTTTTTTTTGTGAGATTAAATATTTCTTTCTGTGAATCAGTTATTAGTGGCCTGATCACTTTCGTGTATTCCTTCTCCTTCTGGATGTTCTGTTGTTTTGTATTCCACGCTGACAATTTTAACATGACACAAGGCCACTTTACTGTTCGCTCTGAGTGCAGATTTACAATGTGTCAGTCTCAGTGGTTGTTTAACTACTGTGTACTTACATTCAGGCGAAGTGAAGATCTCCGACATGAACTGGAACAACGTCGCCGTGATGACAGTCGGTACTTAAGTCAAGGAGATGGACGCCGCTATGATAGGAGCATGGACTATAGGGGTGACTCTGACAGGTGAGATATACCAAATCAAGGCAGAGGCTTGGTTTTCTATATTAAAAGTGAATGCAATAAATGCCTCTGAATTTTTACTTATAGTCAGTGCTGATAAGTGAATATTTTATGTGCAGTAAAGCTCACTGAAATGAACAGGGATTATGAAAATAATGTATATATAATATATTTGCACTTGGGACGGAGTTTATATCATTTAACGGGCTAATCAAGTTACTTATGTATTGAAAAAACCTAGAAGGTGCTTCATTTTACAGTATGTATTCTTAAAGAGTGAAATAGTAACACTGAAAGAGTAGCCTGCACATCACTAATGCATCCAGTTCTTGAATATGGGACGGGGTGCTGGGATCCTTACAGGAAGGGACAGATAAATGCACTAGACCAGGTGCAAAACGTAGCGGCTAAATTTGCACACCATAGAAATGATTCGAACTGGGAAACCTTGACACAGTGCAGAAGGATAACTTGTATATATACTGTCTTCAAAGTGTACATGGGAGAACAAGCTTGGAAGACTGTAGGTGATAGGTTACAAAGACCATGCTATCTGAGCAGGGTCGATCATGATAGGAAAATTAGGCGCAGAAATCAAAAGACAAATATCAGAAAATATTCCTTTGTGAATAGGACCATCTAGCACTGAAAGCAACTACCTGCAGATGCTTTAGGGATTCTCTCCTGTAAACCAGTTAATTTTAGGAAAATGATAAATAAGATGAAGTGAAGGTCTGGGGGAAATCATAAAAAAATGCAGGGAAAGGAAGGGAAGGCCATTGTGAAATGTGACTGCATCAGTTCAAGACATTACATATTTCATTACTGTTACTGTTTAGTGTATATTATGCTTATTCCTTTATTAATATTAATTTATATAATTGTATTCATTGTGTGTAGTGTGTCCTTTATTGTATGTGTAGTTTTGTGTGCTGTGTTTTGGTTGAGCGTGGTGTGTTATTTTGTACCTTAGTGTAGTACCACTGGGTAAAACCCCATCTGCAGTTGAAATAAGTAAATAAATAATAGTAACAAATAATAATAATAATAATAATAATCTAATATGATTGAATCAGTACATTCTGTAAAATCATTTATGTTTGTATGCTCAAGTAGAAACAAAAATACTGCCATTTTTACATTCCCAATATGATTGAACCAGTGCATTCTGGATCTAAGTATCTGAGGGTTTTGTACAATCAAGGTAACTCAGTCGGCCACTGGACGTGTATGTCTTGTGGTGATGATGATGATGATGATGATGCCATGAACATATAGAGTACAGATACTTGCATTTGGAACAGCTGTGTGAAGAGCATAGATATTTTAGTAGCTTATCAATGTATATATATTCCATTGCTAATGAAGGATTTAACTCTTATGTCATTTTCCATTTGCTCCCTTGTTTCCCAGTAGAACTTTGTTATGAATGTGAATTGGCATTAATTTTGGGTATGGCTCCACATTGATGCCTATTTGTCATAGAAGTTTAATACTGCCACAGAGTGCAGTGTGAGGATGTGTAGACAAGTAATCTCTGTGCGTGCATGTGAAGAGTGATAAGGTATTTTTCTTAGAGAGACTGAGGATTAGTTTAGTTGTTCATCAGGATATTACAATTGATATTTTTCCTCTTGTACTTCTTTGCAATTGTTTTTTTTTTTTTTTTTTTTTTTGTTTTTTTTTTTTTTTTTTTTTTTTGGACACTTAGTTTTGAAGGTGATCAGAAATGCTTTTATCTTTTACTTCTCTAGTTAGTGGTGTTTTTCTTTCTTTTCTCTTTTCTAAAAATTGTATTTATTCTTTCATTTTTATATATACCAGAGTGTGAAGGTATTTGTCGAAAAGCTATTTTTTTTATGGAAGTTTTATAGTAGTTTTAGAGCCTGTCAAATATCTGTTAACTGGCCTGTTACTTGGACTATATCCTTTCACTGTGGTATGTTGAGAGTGGCATATTTTGCAGTAGCCAAAAGAAGAAATTTTTTAAAATATGAAAGCAATAAAACAATAAAATAGGATTTATTTTTCAAATAACAGGGGCTCCAGTGACCTTCGGATGAGAATTAATGAAAAAAGGACTGATCGTCATGATGATAGGGATTCAGGTCACGCCCGTGTGTTGGAACATCGGCCTGAGCTTATGGAGCGAGACAGGGAAAGGGAAAGACCTCACAGGGGTATGATGCAACATTCCCCACCAGGCAGTGAGAGAAGGCGAGGTAAGTCTTAATTCAGAAATTTGAAATGCCATCAAGTGTTTTTGTGATACTGAAATATGGTATTTAGAGTGTTTCTGTTTTCTTTGACTGAGTTATTTGAAGAAATGGAATAGCCCCAGTTTTCTGAGGCAGCCAGTAGTTTTCTTCTACCTTGTAACATACCAGTTTAGAAGTAAGACACTGAAATCAGATGCAAAAAGACTGTGCTCAAGGTTGTCAGGCCCAGTACAAGGTGTTCCTCATATCTCCCCACCTTCCCTTTAATGTCAGAAGTCAAAATGATGTAAATCAGAAATGTCTGATTAACATGCATTTGAGTATGGAAGTGACTGGGCCACACCACAGCTCAAGCGGTTAGTCGCTGACTTCATACTGCCGCAGCCTGGGTTAGATCCCGGATCTGGTCAAATGGGATTTGTGATGGATATAGTGGTGCTGGGGCAGGTTTTCTCTGAGTACTTCGGTTTCCCCTGCAAATCTTCATTCCACCAAATTCTCCAGCATCATAATCACCCAGGGCAGGTACAATACGCCAATCAGTGGCCACTGTGCTGAGTGGATCCAGTTCATCTCCACCCCCCACTAAGCAAAATGGAAGTGATTGTACTTGAGTACCATCATGTGAAGATTATAATTTCACAGCCTCTAAATTATATGTACAAACCGTGAGAAATCTCACATTCTCTTCACTAGTTCCTGGTTACTCATGAATAACCATTTGACGCAGCATTTACATTCATTGTATCCTTACACTATCAGCCTAGATAACTTAAATGCCGACCATAACTGCATGTTAGCACATTAAGCCTGGCAAGGGGCCATTTAATTTTACTACATAGGGCAGTCAAAAAGTTCCCAGAATTCTCATGCAGACGGAGAACGAGCTGTACTGAATCACACTGTTGTGATGGGAAGTTCAGCATGTCTGCTCACAGGCACAACAGGTCTGGACAGGTTTCAGTGTGCAGTGTCATTACTGTTCCGTTTTAATTAGACGTGAGTGTTGGTTATTCGGCGCAGTGTTGCAGTTCAAACAATATGCGAACATCAAGTTTATGTGCAAATTGGGAAAATCTGCTTCGGAGACGCTATTGACCCTGCAGCAAGTTTATGGTGATACTGCACTAAAGAAATCCGCAGTTTACAACTGGTTTCCCGGTCTAAGAATGGGCAGGAGACTTTAGAGGCTGACCAGCACAGTGGGAGACCTTCGACACCCAGAACCAAAGAAATGATTGGAAAAGTGCGACAACTGATTCGATGTGATCAAAGAATGACCATCACGGAGTTGGCGCAAGAAGTTGGTACTGTTACTTGCCATTTCTATGTACAAGTTTTGCAGAGGTTGTGCAATGCAATTTGGAGGAAGCGGCACGACAAGTGGCAGGGACAGTGGTTTCTGCATCACGATAACGCACCAAACCACACATCACTTGTTGTGCAGCAAGTCCTTGCCGAGAAAAGCATTCTTGTCATCACTCAAATACTGTACTCTCCAGATCTCGTTCCGAGTGATTTTTGGCTGTTCCCTACTGTGAAAATTGGCCTCAAGGGGGGACATTTCACAACCATGGAGGACATCAAATCGAATGCTACGGCTGAGCTCTGGAAGATTCCAAAAGAAGCCTTCCACCTCTGCTTCCAACAATGGTAGGATTGATGCAGCAACGGTCCTACTTTAAAGGTGATTAGTAGGGGCCAGATTTTTATGCCCTAATAATCCCTTAAATATGTATGCATTTGTGCATGAAAAACTTCTGAAATATGCACATAAAAATTTATACCAAATATTAAAATTGATTTTACATTATTTTAAGACCAACAAATCAATATTTAAGTTCATTTTATGTAATCACTGAATGATTCACTTGCAATAAAAAGCTATACTTAAACACAAATCATGCAACAAAGCCAACATATTTCATTACAAATTTAAAAAACCAATGGTTCTCACATTCAGCTCTCCGAACTTTCAACTTCTCTTCTGTTGCAGTTCACTGTTACTAAATGTTTTAGCTTTTCCATAGTTAGTCGCCTCCTATTGTCTCATAAGATGTCCTTATAGCGGGAAAAACTTCTTTCCACCTCACAGGAACTTAAGGGCTCATGTACAGAAGCCACTATTTGCTCCACTGTTAGTGATTTTTTACTTGGCAGTTCAGTACGTTTACCGGCTAAAATTTCTTAAATTTCACAAATTTGTTCATATCCTGGATTTTTTTAAAGAATGCTGTGTACTTTTTCCTTTACTACTTCACCAACTCTTCCATGAACCGAATCCGATTTGGAAACAGTGGTTTTGAACAAACTTAACGACTGATTCAAAGTAGTATTGATATTGCTTGCCTCCAGTGAGGAAGTGGCGGATGGAAGATGAGAGAAGTGAGCAGATATATAGGAAAGATTAGTTTCTAGTGCTGCGTTTTTTAGTACATCTTGGACAATTTGAATTGATGCTGCACTTTTGGGATCAAATGTATTCATGACATTCCTAACTGTTTCTAAATGTTCAGTATAATAACTCGCTGCACACAGCCACGTGCCCCAGCCCATTAAAATTGGTTCTGGTGGAAGTGGAACGCTCGGTGCTACTGCTTTGAAGGCTTCTTTTCTGTATGGCGCTTTAACAAATACTTTCTTCACAAAAGACACCAACATGTCAACAAGCGAAAAATTTGCACGAATTGTTTCTGCAACATGGTGCAACCCATGGGCAAGGCAAGTCAAATGTGTCATATTTGCAAATATAACTTTAAGAGCAGTACCAGCTTTCATCATATAACTTGCGGCATCAGTAACAAAGAGCAATACACGCTCATACTGAATGCCATTCGGCCATAGTAAATTCGTGAAATTGATAAAGAATTCGGAAACTGCGGAGCTATTTGTGGTTTCAAATTGCTCTACCACAAGAAGATAAGGGGTAGATTGTTCATTCTTCTTAAGGGATCCAACTATACAATTTGCAATAAACCATCCCTCACAATCTTGTGTTTCGTCAATTGATACCCACACAAAGTTATCTTGAATCTTATCTCTAATGCTTTCAATTGTAAGATCGTAACACTGCTTCATGTCATTTTTGCGCACAGTAGATTTATCCGGCACTTTGCACTGTGTATACTTCTCTATGAAGTTTCTCACAGTAGGATTGGTTAGTTTCCACAGCGGAATATCTGCCGCTAAAAGGCTTCGCATAAATCAAAGGAAAACTGTGAAAAACTATTATTAGAAAATTCACTAAGCAGTTTTTGAACAGGAGTACTTTTCGTGGATTTAATTGTAATATTCTCTTTGTGAATATTAGTGTTCAAACGCTGAAGCACTTGAAAGCGTTTTTCACAACCAACTGTTTTCTCACACGCTCGGCAATAAAGAACCGTACTTATCATCTCTCCTTCGAACTCCCGCTGATACAGCTGTAATTTAGTTTTCTGACTTACTTTCACTTTCGGCATGACTACGGAAAGCTCAACAAACTTAACTACAGACTGGTCACCACTAATGTGAATGGCCCCCAGCTTCAAATATGAATAAGCGTAACAAACCACATGGGGACTTCAGAAATAAATAAGTGAAGTCCCTTATCGGTTGAATAGTATTATGTTGATAGCGGCTACATGTGGACGCTTCCGACGAATCTCTTCGCGGCCACTTTGATGGTACGCGGATGAGGCAAGTTACAAATAGAGGGATCGGGGAAGTCCCATCCTGGGTACTGCGTCAGAAACATGAATCATGATGAAATGTTGAGTCAAATATACAACATATTCTGATACAGAAAAGAAAAATTGTATAGACATGACCATGATTGAAAATTTGAACATAACATTAAAAAATATATTTGATAAACATTTTAAAAAGGAAATATGCAGTATAAACAGAGATCTTCGAAAATATGATGCTTATTCATAAAACAAGCAAAATATGCATTTATATGCACCATTAAACCACGTCCAAAATTTAAGAAATGAAGTAATTCATTCATATATCCAAATGAGCATACTTTCTGGTTGCAAGAAAGGAATATGCATTTGCATTAAAATCTGGTCCCTAGTGATTAGGTAAGCGTTGCTGTATGTCGTACCATTAGAGTACTGTACCACCATTCCGGGAACTTTTTGACTGACCCTCATATGTTCAGCAGCATTAGACACAGCAATTAGTAATATATTCTTGTGGTAATGGCTTGCCTTCTTCTGCATTATTAGGACCAGGAGAAGGATTTGGTCGCACACTGGGAGATGGTAAAATGCGTGGTGGTAGTGGAGGTGGACGAGTAGTCCAGCGCGGTGGACCAGCAGATCGTAATGATGTCCCAGACAGATTCCATCAGGAACCAACAGAATTTTCCAGTCAACGATCTGATAGATTCCATTACAAATCTTGGGACTCAAATCCTGAACATGTACCCAAAGGAAGAGCCTACTTTGAAGTAAGTGAAGACTCGTGAATATTTCTGTTAATCTTTCATAGGTACAACATTGGATGCTGTAGTTATTTCTGGTTCAAATTATAAATGTTATTTTGAAATTGTACATTGAATTCCCAATTTTAAAGATTTCCCACATTTTAGGTGCAATTTTTTCTGATCCTGGGTTGATCTTAAAGTTAAATTTCCTCCATGTAAGGTTTTCCTCACGTTAGTGTTCAGATTTGTAGTTATGCAAAGAACTCTTATTTTGGTGATGAACAACCTGGGCTTCCCTCTGTGACCCACAAGTAATTTCTGAATATAAGAATCTAAAAATTTTAAGTTTAGAGTAGTATTCCAAAAATATTTTAAAGAAACATATACATGCTATTCAATGGGAAAAAAACGTTTGTATTTAAAACCCAAAATTGCTGTTGTATATACTGGAGCACTGTTTTGTTGTCAGGTATTCATGATATTTGATGATCCATTTTACAATAAGTTCAGGTTGGCAGGTAACACTGTTTTTAGTAGACATATTGACCGAATCACTGAACTTCAGATGTAAGATTTGAGGCTTTCACGGCGGTGACTATGAAGAAAGCAGTCTTCTGGGATTTGGTGCCGTGTATATGTGGTGTTAACCGACGTTTCGGAGGTGTCTCACGGTGTTGTCGCTTGCAGATTTACCTATACTTTTTCTTCAACCCTGAAGATGGGGGCGATACGTTCCTCCGAAACGTCGGTTAACACCACATATACACGGCGCCAAATCCCAGAAGACTGCTTTCTGAACTTCAGATCTTTGCAATTTATTCATACCTTCCTACTTTCCCATTTTAATTCACCAGTTTACCTTGCTGTGTTTTCCTTCAAATTTTAAACACCCAAGCTGTTCAGGTAACCATTGCAGTATCAGTGTTAATCATACATTAAGATTTTTGTTTTTATGTAGCTAAGTACATTTAAAAAAATTTGCAACGCCTTGTTTATGATATAATATCACACACATTGAAAGAATAAACTATAATTGTGTAACTAAAACTATAGACTGTTGATATAATCTTCAAGTGATGCTGCATCTTTAAATGAAACCATGAGCACTCTAATCACCATTTAAAACTTTTCTTATTCACCAGCTGTGCTAATCACATGGGCTGAACAAGAGCCAGAAAACCTCTAGTGCAGTTATGGACCTAGTAGGTGGAGTCAAGTCAGGCATCTGCCCCTCCCCCCCACAAATTCGAGAATAATCGAAATTGGAAGAAAAAATAGAATGATATGTGTGAAAAATTGGGATTTTCAATACTAAATACAAAGGATGATCCATAAAAAGTATTCTTAAATATCTTTCAACATCAGTTCCCAAGAAAATTTTCAGGCTCCCCCGCCCCAAGGTGAAGGGATGGAGAATTGTGGTGGCACCCATGACTTTGGTTGTTTACCTAGCTGGTCTATGGTAAGTATAAAAGATAAAATGCTTTCCTATTTCAGAAAGATAATGCTGTCAGAATAATGAGGTAAAATATTACGACACTGCACTGTACTAGTACAGCAAGGCAGGGGAGGATAATAAATGGGTTTTGTTTTCTGTAGAGGGCTGGTGAATGTGCAGTAAAAACAACCTGTAAGGTGTGGTCTATTCCACATGCTAGATGCTCAGTAATTAATAAGATGATACTGTTGGCAGCATGACAACCGGGAAGATGAATTTATGAGGGGACGAGGTCGAGGAATGTTGGGTCAGCGAGGCTCAGGGATGCATGGCCGTGGTATGATGCGTGGACGGTCTTTCAGAGGTGGGGGACCAACACACATTTTCATGGGACGTAGCGGTCGACGAGGAGGATATCCACCACGTAAGTCTTCCCATGACCTCAACTTGGATCATGGTCCTCATGAGCGACCGTATCGTGAGCATGAGAACTTCAAACCTCTGGATGGTCGTCACCACTAGAACTGCCAGTGAACTTGGAGGAAAGCAGGGAGGGAGTGCTTAAGAAAGGGTGGGATTTATGACAGTCTCAAACACTGAGTGGAGCATGAAATGCACTGTATATATTTATTTACGTGTTTCCTGAGAGTCATACTTGTTTTTTCAAATTTGAATGATTGTGAACAAGTTCCGTTTCAACTGCAGTTACCTACTTGCTGATTTATAGTTACATTAGTTTGTACCAGTGTCTTGCTATTCTGAGTTGTAGTATAGTGTTAAATATATGACTTAATGGAATACTGCTACTTGGTACTGCAAATATCAGAATATTCTGATCTATCAAAATATTGTGGACTTTGATATCCTTACACTACATAGTCTGATAGATGTCTACCAACATATAAGAGGCTCATTCTGCTTCCACTTTTTGAGGTGAAGATGGAGACAGAATGTTCCTCCAAAACACTGGTAACAACCTTCCAGATTACGTGGTGTCATAACCCAGAATACCTCATTATGAATCTTCTTCCCCATGAAAGCCTTAACTGTCATATAGGTGTTCAGAACTTATAATATTATGGTGTAGCATTCTGCTGTACATCACTTAGTATCAAATGTTGCTGGTTCCACCATCTCACATGCAACACGTCTTTCTGTTATTGACTTAAAAGTTTTGCACATCACATGGCATAACACAACAGGTAGAACAACCCACCACTTTGAATACATATGCACTTAGAGGGGGCCATGCGTTATAAAATTAATAAGCAAAGCCACCATAAGAGAACCACAGAGTTTCCTCAGCTATAACTTTAAACACCTGATGGTGACCATATTGACTGAAACATGCAGTGAAGAAATTTTTAAAAAATTTATGTGATGTGTAAAACTTTTGAAGTGAATAACTTCTAGTAAGTTTTATAGAAAGAGATGTTGCACATGAGACAGTGGAACCAGCAACATTTTATGTTGAGAATTTATTTTTAAAGAAAGTAAAAGTTTTTGTTATAAAGTTTCAATCTAACCATGGTAGAACAAATACAGTCTCTAACAAGAATTTCATTACAGTGAGCATAGCCATCAGCACTCTCAGTTTCTGAAAGTTAAACATATGTGGATAAGCCATGCTAAAAATGAGGGGTTCCCTTCCCCCCATAACTATATATGCTGACTGTACTTGAACTTCTACCTTGGAAGCTATTTATGGCTTCCCACTGCAGCGGCCTGGGTTCGATCCCGGGTCTGGTCAAGTGGAATTTGTGGTGGACAAAGTGGCACTGGGGCAGGTTTTCTCCGAGTATTTCGGTTTCCCCTGCCAGTCTTCATTCCACCAAATTCTCCATCATCATAATCACCCAGGGTAGGTACAATAGGCCAATCAGTGGCTGCCATGCCGAGTGGACCCAGTTGGACTCCACCCCCCACTAAGTGAATTTGAAAAAAAAAATCTCCTCCAGAATTTACCCAGTGAGAAATGTGCCGCATGTAGTATTCTCTTTGAACTTGCTGTTTATTCTGTTAGATTTTCCGCTTGTATTATGTCTCTTGGCTAGTGAACAGGAATTGGACATTTCTAAGATTATGCTTCATGGTGTGTACATTAAAAAGTGACGTCAAGTCCTAATTATGGCAACAAAGTGGAAGTGCTTAGACTTGAACATGGAGCCATCCTTGTTATCAAAGTATCCGTCAATAATGCAACAGTATAAAAGACATTAGGAATACGTTTCACACTAAAAATATATTTCAATACTTTTTGATGTTAAAATCATTACATGTCAGTAGGACACTAAAAGCATATGTCCTATTGATATGTAATTATTTTAACATCAAAAAGTATTGAAATATATTTTTAGTGTGAAACATATTCCTAATGTCTTTTATATTGTTGCATTATTGATGGATACTTTGATAACAAGGATGCAACAGAATGCTAGAATATAATATAATTGAATATTGAGCATGAAATAATGTGTCTGAGAAGTCGGTGCCTAAATACTGAACTAAGAAGATGAAGTTGGTTGACTTCTGTGTTTTAGTCACCATTTTGAGGAACAAGAGCAAAATATGCCAACATGTTCTGTATGATGATAGACCAATGACAGAGTAACAATTGCGGAATAAAGAAAATGGAAATTTGGAATCCACATTCTGTGAGTGATTTTGAGGGGATACCAGTTTATGAAGGTGACAGGATAGTGCAGTCAATATAACAACTACGGAACATGTGAGGGGTTGGAGTTCAAGTGCCAGTAGGGGCAAGATTTTTCTCCTCTCTATGTCTTCCATACAGGCTTTGAGGCCCACCCAGCCTCCTGTCCCATGGGTACTGGTGGCTCTCCCCAGGAGTATAGCCCCAGAGGCATGAAGTTGACCACTCACTTCCAGCTAGCGCTGAGGGCAAGAGTACATGGAGCTATACATCCACCCCCATATGTTTCATAGCATAGTGCTTAATTAGCTAAACACTTGGACAACTTTACCATCACCTTCTACCAGTTTATGAAACAGTCATCAAGACAAAGGCCAACCAATTTGCAGCATGCTTAAAGGTTGAGAACATCTAGTGCTTTAAAGGGTCACTTTATCACTGCATTGCAAGGAAGTAATTCTAAAGGGTAGCTTTACCTTTTTAAAGCAAGAAAATGCAGTAATGTGCACAAAGTTTCAAGAAAATTACTTGTTTTAAAAATATACATATAGTACGTAAAAAGTTTGTTTTACTTTTAACTGCTTTGTGAATTACGTCTGTCAAGGAAGTTTGATACAAGGTACCACATTAATTCTTATGCAGATACAGAAGAGATCGTGCAGAAATAAGAAAATCTTTGGCTTTAGATAATGCTGGACATGAGAATGTTGAATTATCATTATTTTATCTCCATGATAACCACTTCAAATAAGAATAAATATTGCCATACATGAATTAATTTTCTTTCTTTCCTCTCTCCCTCCCTCCCCCCCAACTTAAATGTCATATTATGATAAACGTAACTACACATTGGAAGATTAACCTGAAGATCATGTATGTCAGCCATTTTTGATACTACCATTGTCCATTAAAATGAGCATTTATATTTATATGTATATATAAATTGTCACCACATCAGTGTGATTATATGAATTATATATATATAATAATTATATGAATTGAGAGTCCATGTAAATTATAATTGACTACAAAGGGACACGTGAGTTGTGGTCTGTGTGAATCTTCCACGAACTGGTAATTATATTTTCATTGGAGTATTGTGTTGTGTTAATTTTCTATCCACGTGCCAGACCGGGATATTCCACTCAGTGGTCTGTGGTTCCTTGTAACAACTGTCATATTTCTGTAGCTGTATTCGAACTAACAACAGGGTACCAAATACAGATGTGAAATTGTAGTGTGTTAGTGATACACAAGCTTGTTTCTGTTTCACTAACTGGATTTGGAAGAGCATGAAGTCAAATTTTCATTTTAGGAAGTACCCCTGTCTTCATATACACATTTGCTGGTTGAATTTGGGATCAGGTACTGTTCTTTCGATTTTCAGTGAAGTAAGGTTCTCAGTCTCCTTGTTTATAATCTTTTATTTAAGCATCATGTTTCATTACTATATTCAACCTTGTTTACATACAATTTTCCATCAATAATAAAACCCACAGAATTTCTGGGTTTTTGGAATTTTTCCATTATCCAGAATTCTGGGTGATAGAGGACACAATGTTTTGGAAACTGGATCTGTTTGTCTTCAGGTGAGAAAGAAAAACACCTACTCATTTGGGCCGCTTAGAAAGAAACAGATCCAGTTTCCGAAACATCCTGTCTTCTATTACCTAGAATTCCGGACGATGGAAGAAGTCCGAAAATCCAGCAATTCTATGTGTCATCCACCACCATCGTCAGAACCCTTTAGAATCTAATAATGAAATTATTTATTTCCTCATTCACATTTGCTTTCGCTATTAACTCAACATGTTTCAGCCCCAAATGGCCATTATGCCAAACCTGCTATATACTATACTGAGTATTGTCCATTCTTTGTTTATAATTGGTTTGTAGTTTCCTTTATGGCCAGTGGTGATGAATGATTATAAACATGTAATTTCTCATATACAGTTGTGAGATTTAATTTTGACATTCTTAAACACCCCCATCCCTATAGAATTTATGGTGATGGTATATTTTTGCATCCATTCTTGTTGTTTCTTTAGTTACAGAGGTTAAGAATTCATAGTTTGCTTACAACTCAGCTTCAGTGAACCTAATTTTTATAGATACAGGTTAGTGGGTTTTCCCCCCTTCCATTTGTCACTTCTGTCCATAATTTGAACTTCTCATTACTGATATTACTACCCCTTTCCCCTAATGACAGCCTGAGACATAGTTACCAAATAAAAGTCAAATTATTACTTTGGGCGTAACAGGTTTTTGTAGTTTTCTTTGTATACTTAGTTACTTACTTACGGAGCTGAGCCCTTCTTGAGGAGAAGCCAAATCTGCAGCAGCTGCTCAAGAATTTCCCAGCATTTTATGGAACCTGAATGTTCATTACCATGTTCACAAGAGCCCTCCACTTGTCCCTATCCTGAGCCAGATCAGTTCAATCCATACCATCCCATCCTATCTCTCTAAGATCCATTTTAATATTGTCCACCCACCTACACCTTGGTCTTCACAGTGGTCTCTTTCCTTCTGGCTTTCCCACCAATATCCTATATGCATTCTTTTTCTCCCCCATTCGTGCTGCATGCCCTGCCCACCTCATCCTCCTTGACTTGATCATTCTAATTAAACATAGAGAAGAGTACAAGTTATGATGCTCCTCATTATGCAGTTTTCTCCAACCTCCTGTCACTTCACCCCTCTTTGGTCCAAATATTCTCAACACCCTATTCACAAACACCCTCAGTCTATGTTCCTCCCTTAATGTCAGAGACCAAGTTTCACACCCATACAAAACCACAGGCAAAATTATAGTTTTGTATATTCTAATTTTTATGTTTTTGGACAGCAGACGAAAAGACAGAAGGTTCTGGACTGAATGGTAGCAAGCATTACCCGAGTTCAGTCTCCTCTTCCTTTGTGTACTTTGAGACTGGAATTAAAATTGTAAGATTTGAGGTTTTCACGGCGGTGACTATGAAGAAAGCAGTCTTCTGGGATGTAGCGCCATGTAGATATTGTGTTAACTGATGTTTCGGAGGAATGTAACGCCTCTGTCTTCAGCGTAGAAGAAAAGGAGAAATCCGCGAGCGAAGCAACGTGAGCAGATGCAACAGACTGCACCTACTCGCAGATTTCTTCTTTTCTTCTACCCTGAAGATGGAGGCTGGTTGCTGATTGGGTAATGTCTACAGGAAGCACAAGTAGTGTTGCTTCTTGTCGAATGTGTTGCTGATACATTTCTGTAATGTTTGTATGATGTAAGGTACTGTTTATATTATTCCCATAATACCAAAATTGTTTTATCCCCCTCCTGCAAGAGTTATGTAGTGAGCCCAGATTAAGTGTCACAGGTTAGAGAAAGATTTTCCTGCATTTTGAATAAAACTGGGAAGGGTTGACAACAAGTATTACTCGGCATGTAGATGAAATTTTTAAGCAAGCATTTGCTAATAAACTACTGGGCTCTGGTTGCAGGGTATACTACTAGGCCGAGTTCACCCCACTGGGAGCACGATCTGTTTGACAACGTTTCAGCTGATGACTGTGGGCAAGCAAGCAACAGTAGCCATGGCAAGTAGATTCATGGTCTGCACTCTGAAAGTGTTTAAGACGGAGAAAAATGAACTCCTGAGTTGAACACACTATTACCAAGTAGTTTCTCAAAGTCCATGACTTGCTGCAGTAAATTGTGACTTCAAATTTCATTATCTGACTGTGAATAAAATGCATATGCAGAAACTTGAAGATGGTTGCAAGAAATCAGTTTCCTTCCTTTACGTTCTAATGTTCGTCAGCTTTCCTGACCCAAAGTTGTCAAGAAATTGTGCTCTTCTCATGTGGGATTGTAACTCTTGTTGGGGGCTGTAAAAGGTAAAGCTATCCCTGTAACAGGCCATGGAGGCCCATAGGATTGTGAGACGTCAAGGATCTCACATTTTCTAGACATTCAGCTCACAGATAGTGGTGAGATCAGCCTTATGCGCCGGTTGCTATCCCCCAGGAAGATTCCTTCTTGTTGGGGTCATGTACATTTTTAAAGTTTCTCTGAACTGCTCTGCAATTCTGACTCCTTTTTTTTCACTATTCCTTTGTTTCTTTCTTTCTTTTTCCACACTCAGATTTTGTGTTTACTTTTCTGTATGAATGCTCTAGAAATAGAGGCAAGATTTGAGTTCTATTCCAAACATTGAAATGAACACGATAGGAGACTTTGTAACACAGTAATTATTTTAAGTGCCATATGTTAAGTCACCTGCATATATCATCTCATCAATTAAAGCCTATTACATTATTTTGAGAGAGGTTTAATTCTCATTGAATTCTCTAAGGTCTTGCTTTGCAGTGTCCATGCTAGAGCCACCCCGTGTAAGTAGTGTAACTTTGGCAGTCCATTTGATAAGTAGCCAGTAGGGTTGTTTAGGGGACTTTATTTTATCTTTCTCTTTATTTGCTTTCATTGGTAGAGAATTTGTGGAACGGTTGACATCATTTTTTGACATTGACCAATGTGTTCATAGTGTGGATTTGTATGAAAATACATTATACAGTATGTGATAGTGTTAAGTATAGAAATATTTTTGGTATTATGGTACCTTGAGTTAAATTAGTATACATTTCCTGCTTCCATTCTGTAAGAAGTTTTGTTGCATCAATTTAATCATTTACATGTCTGTTATAGTTATAAACTTGTATGAAATCAGTGATTAAAATCATTCTGTTTGAAGTGTGACTCTTACATTAACGTGTGCATATCATCAGGCTCTGATGTACAGAGTTACAGAGACAAAATATGTGAGTCATATCCAAAACACAGACTGCATATTCATTATAGATTTGAAATTCTTGATGGTGACTGATGTATTCAAGAGACACTGAGGTTATTTCATATTTTCATTGTATAGATGGGAGGGAGACATAAAGAATGTTGAGATGTGAATGTTTAAAGTATTTGTGTGAAATATACTACCTTTTTTTATTTGTGAAATGAGTCCATGATGATTTATATATATTCATTTCTTATAGCTGCAATAAAGAAATATTGGAAAATAATCATTTCCGTGTTTTCTAACATATGAGATGTCAGTAACTTCGAAGATTTGATCATGTATCCAGCTGACACGTTTGAAAATCCCTCATTTGTTTCCTGTTAAATCAGAATGCTAGTTCTGATCCAAATATTCATTCACAAACAATTCTTTCTGTCATTCCCGAGTTCACAAGAGACCTCCACTGGTCCATATCCTGAGCCAGATCAATCCAATCCATAATATCCCATCCTGTCTCTTTAAGATCCATTTTAATATTGTCCACCCACCCACGCCTTGGTCTTCCCAGTGGTCCATTTCCTTCTGGCTTTCCCACCAATATCCTACATGCATTCCTCTTCTCCCCCATTCGTGCTACATGCCCTGCCTGTCTCATCCTCCCCTCATGTTATAGAAACAACAATTTACCGAGCTGTGGTCTGACAAAGGTTGAGAACCATTGAGTTTGAGTACTTTTTTATCACTTCCTTCATTAACTGAAAGGCTTGTTTCATTCCTTCTTTCGATGTTAATTTATAATGAATATGGCTAGTTGTGGTGATAGTCTGCCAACTTGCCTTTTCTTCTGTTGAGAATACAGTCTGTACTCTACAGTTATTGCCGTAGAACTGTTCATTGCCACTTTTCTTGTGACAATCGAGATGTTTCTGAAGGGTTTTGTATGCAACACCAAACTGTTCTGGTGCAGCTCTACCAGCCTACCTCTTATGAACAACTTCAACAGCCATAGTAAGATTTGATATGGATAATAGTGGTTGCTTGAATGCGCCTTAACTTCTAGGCCTCTGAAAACAAAGGACGTCTATTCAATATTTTTTTCCTTTGCATAATGGTTTGCTAATGAAACATGTATGTGAAGCTTTTGAATAGCTCTGACTATTTGCTCATTAATTGCTAATAAAAAAAAAGAGCTGCACTTGCTAAAACAATGGCTTAATTGTTCATCTGGTTTCACATTTGTACCTGACCCGAGGTATAGAGCTACTCAATGGCCACAGGTACAAGGGCATGGCAAAGTCTGAGGTTGATTTCAACATTTATTTTATGCAGGGGCGGCCCGTGTATAGGCACTGCGTAACTGCAGCACCCCCAATTTCCACATGATATTATCGATAACATTTATATAATGAGTCCTTTTTTCTTTAATTCTTTCTTTATACTTGTACAATACAATATATAATCCTTAAGCTTAATGTCAGTAGCCAAATCTTTGTATGGAACTGTGCGCTTCAGAAGCAGCACCCCCACTAATTTTAGCTACGAGCCGCCACTGATTTTATGGCTAAAAACCTTGGCCAGTATCACATTAAATTCCTTAAACTATAAAGAAAACAGAACTTGATTTTGATAAGGCATTTTAAGCATTTCCCTCCAGCTGCAATCGTTAAAACCTTCTCAACAATTAAGGTTTTTACAGGTTGGGAACTTTCAACCCCATGCCACAAGTCGAAACAGGAAATGTAAATGGAATTAAAACGACAGAATACGATTCCAACTAAACATCCTGGTGGTCCCGTAACCTTTAGCATCATGTGAAGATACTTCTATTTGACGTTGAAGGAAGCAAAGTAAGTCTGTCACATCTGGGTATCTGTCCCTCCGCCCATCCTTCTATTCATCCATATATTCCTGTTGCTCACATTTGGAGCATAGGGCATCTGTGAAACGCTCCATCTCACTTCAATTTCTTAATCCTAGACAGTCGGTATGACTCCTTGGACAGGGGATCAGCTCGTCGTAAGGCCTCTACCTAAACATAGTACAACACAAACACAGAGAAACGCACACACACACCAAATATCTAAGCCTTGTTTGGCATTCGAACCCACGATCTCGGCTTCCAAGCGAGCGATGACAGTACATGCCTTAGACCGTTCAGCTACCATGACCGGAGAAGTCTGTCACATACACCATGTTAAGTCTATGTTAATACTATCTGTAGACTTGAAGTCTACTATAAACTATGTTTATCTTGTATATTTATATAATAAATATCGTTTAATGATGTTCTGTCCGAACCGGTTCTTGAGATATGTGCAGAGCAAAAATTTAGTGTCAGTGCCGAGTGGTGTTCAATATCCTCTGTTATGGGGCTATATTTGAACTGCCAGACCAATCTAGACCCACTGAATTTAAAAATAATACGTAGCTAGTCTTTCGTTATCGCTGAAAAACTATCAATCTGTTAGTTTCCCCAGCCCACGTTCCTTTCATAGGTGTATATAAAGTAAAATAAAGCTATCCTTGTAACAGGCCGTGGAGGCCCAAGGGTTGTGAGATGATAACGTTCCCACATTTTCTAGAAAATCGGCTCATAGATGGTGGTGAGGTTGTCAGCCTTACGCGCCGGCTGCCCTTTACCCCCAGGAAGATTCCTGGTACTCATTTCTGTTAGAGGCTGAGTCGACCCCAGGGCACAGTGCGGCTGAACTAACCAAAGCAGTCTAATCATACTTCGTCCGGGTCCCTCTTAAAATGAACTTACGTATTTCTCACAGGACACACATTTTTGAAGCTCACAACTATGTGTATAGACTTTTTTATTGCTAGTGGGGTGGGACTTAAGTCCCTTGTACTGCGGCCACTTCTGGCCTATTGTACCAGCCCCAGATGATAGGTGAAGGTGATTGTGGAGCAATTGGTGGAATGAAGATTGGCAGGGGAAACCGAAGTACTCGGAGAAAACCTGCCCCAGCACCACTTTTCCACCACAAATCCCACTTGACCAGACCCGAGATCGAACCCGGGCCGCCGCGGTGGCAAGCCGGCGACTAACCGCTTGAGCTATGGCGCGGCCACCATCTTTCGTTGGTTTCACATGACACAATCTTCCTGTATTTTGTACATAAATGAATAATAAAAGGAGGGGAAGTAAAATAAGTCTATTAAAAGCAGTAGTCCTAGTCAGGCTTGTGCCTTGAGACTTTCTCAGAGAAATGACACCGTTGTTTCCTCTTATAAAATCAGTGATCCACTGTTCGCCTGTTCGGCTATTCACTTTCATGAGAACGGTTTCTCAACCGCCGGGCCGCGGCCCGGTACCGGCCCCTGGCATCAATAATACCGGGTCCTCATCTTATTTTTTACTTACTTATGCATGAAGCTGAGCCCTTCTGGAGGAGCCGCGAATTCTGCAGCTACTCAAGAATTTCCCAGCATTTTATAGAACCCGAAGGTTCATTACCGAGTTCACAAGAGCCTTCAACTGGTCCCTATCCTAAGCCAGATCAATCCAATCCATACCATACCATCCTATCTCTCTTGTGGCCTGGAAACTGGTCCTTCGTGTTTCGGCCCATGAATAGTTCGCATTCGTACCAGTTGCTCAAGATCACTGACAGAAATCTACAACAAAACACATACAGACCAGGTTATTAAATACAGAATTGTATTTCTTATACAAGTTACTGTTTCTCAGTGTCTTATTAAGATTGTAATTTAAGACGCTGTAAGGCCGCGCCATAGCACAGGCGGTTAGTCGCTGGCTTCCCACCGCCGCGCCCGGGTTCCAGCCCGGGACTTGTCACATGGGATTTATGGTGAACAAAGAGGCGTTAGGACACTTTTTCTCTGAGTACTTCGGTTTCCCCTGCCAGTTTTCATTCCACCAATTGCTCCAAAATCACCATCATCTATCATCTGGGGCTGGTACAATAGGCCAGTATTGGCTGCAGAACCAAGTTGACTCAGCCTCACCCCACTAATAACAATAATTCAATTGAATTATTTATTATTTATGTGCCGAGTCAGCCGCAAGGCCAATTACAGACAGAGCACAGTGCAGATGAAAGTAATTACATTATGGACAAACATATTATAAGTCAAAGACAAATTACAGATAAGTACTTGGAAACCACAATAATGAGAAAAGTAAACAAACAAACAAATAATA